ACGTTCTACCAACTGGGAAAAGGCGACTATGACTTTCATGGTAATTTTTGACCCCAGAATGGGATATATGTAGGTTTGTACAGGAAGACTTCCTCTATCTAGTGGTATAAAAACGTAACGCCGTTAAAAGTTGAATAACTGAAGGTATGGCACGATTACGAGAGGTTGGACATTGAAGATGAGGTTCAATTTCATTTAATAAATCTACTACTGTTTATTTTGGAAGTCTATAACGTGCTAAAAATTGCTTTTCTGTCATATATTCCAGTGGATTTGAACGATCGAAATTAAACACGTTCTTGTCTCAATGTTCTTGCGGCTAATATAGCAATTAAAGCCATTTTGTAAATTTATCTATTTTTTACTTTTTGTGTTAAACGATGGACTAGATAGGTTTACTACGTCCCTCATATTTTAGAAGCGTGATTTGGGACAGACTTTTGACTTCAGAATTGCCATTTTTCATATTCAGTTTTTGACGCTGAATCGGAAAAACAACTCTGAAAAAGCTAGAAGGATAAACCAGACGAAAATTTGAACTTTATTGAAACTGAAGGATTTTTCGACTTTTTACGGTCTGCGAGTATTTTCGATTTTTCAACATGAAAAAAATTGTTTGTAAAATTATAAAATTAAGGTTCTTCAACAACAATCAATTGGTTTATATTTGGTTCGTCAAGATTCTTCAATTAATAAGGTTTTTGACTGTCGTAGCGCGGAAGTGGAATGCACTTTTACGGAAGGATGCAAGTTTTTCAACTATGAAAATATCAAAAAATGCGTGAGTGTGTATCTACACGAGTTTTTCCTAAACGACTCAAGTTTCTTACGTGTCGAAATCATATTTAAGCGTATTAAATCAAATTTACCGCCACTAAGCTGCTATCTCTATCGGCGCAAATGTGTTGATTCGCCTAAATGTAGTTGTGGATATGATAGGGAAGACATTGACCACTATTTTCTTCACTGTATATTGTATAATATTGAAAGACAACACCTTATGCAGCAACTTTCTTTTTTGAATACATTTACAGTGAACACTTTACTACTGAACAGCTTAGATTTAGATAATGACACACTAATATGTTTACTATATACTATATACTATATACTCAACAAACGAACAGATTTAAATAACTAGCAGCACAGTATTACTCGTTTCCTCTTATAACGTCCGTGCGCCCTCTACCACCAGGTCTGTTTACATCTGTCATTCTATTTTCGTTGTTCTATTTTTATGTCATTTTATCATTATATTCACTAACTGTTTCCATTTGCGCTGCTGGGCCTACAACGGTCGTCTGACCGCTGGCCTTTTTATTAGGAATCGAGAAAGGTATAAGCCAACTATTAAGACCAATATACTATATGAAGTTGAATACAAACTTCCAAGACTGTCACAATCCATTTTGAGTACTACAACAATGTTGGTAATTTTGTCACGGCGAACTGAGAGAGTAAAAGTGTTGTAATTAATTTAACACAGTCTGCTATGGATGAAAAAGCAAGACAAATAGGGGTAGAATTGGAACGGTATGTATCAACACGTAATAAAATAGTGATGAGAAAAATGTTTTCCGCGAAACTAACGGTCACATTCAAGTAACCGGCAAGTAGTTTAAAGAAATCACATTCAAAAGTATCTGATCAAGTGCTGTTTCCGCCTCCAAAATGGTAGAAATCAAACGAAATGCTCTTTGTAACGTTAATTACATTAAATCGGAAAGAATTTTTAATTCTTACTTCACTTTGAATAATAGAAAAAAGGGTAAAAGAAGAGTTATTAGAGAATGAAAATAAATGAACGTGTTGGTTCACGTGTTTTTAATAAATCTGATAATCAAGGTTGTGTTAGTATCCGAAAGGTACTACTGTTTTGGGAAACAAATATAAGACTCCTGAGCGCTCTACTTGTTTTTTTGAGGGGCAGAAAAAAAGTCTGAATGAAAAACGCTCCCTTCTTTTCGATGAGAAGATTTAAGTTTCATTTTTAGATACTAATTGTGATGTGACTAGAGTATCGTATGGTTAACAAAAACATTGAATTTTAATTGTGCCATCCCAGAGTAAAATATGGTGGAATTAACTATAGAAAATGAGTTAGAGCTTTGGCATGGTAACCCCGTTAGACGAAGTTCCTTAAGTATATGGCTAAGTCCCATCTCATGCGCTTAGCTAAAGTGTTTTGCGTAGTTAAGGATCTCTGCATATGGAGACAAATCTTGACATTCTGCGCGTGAGAAGATAAAACTTCACTAGACTTGTATATACTGAGTCAAAAACAAAAGCAAAAGTATCAATTTCTGGAACAGGACTTTCAGGATCTTAGAACATTTCGTGAGTCACGATGTTGACATAAAATGCAAAAATTTCTATAGCAATGTGATTCATTTGCAAAATTGATGCCAAAAAGTGTATTTAACAGGGGCGAGTGATTCTCTCCACACACACTGTCGGAGTGCCCCTGCTGAGTGCGCGTACCTCTAGCATGTTTCATGACTAAATTGTCTGATATAAACTAGCACTTCAATCAGTAGAATTACCAAGCGAAATGCAACATATTTATATTCATAAGTAGATGTCTTATTACGACTTATTGTGAGAGCATTAGTTCACTTAAGAATATTTCTTTGAACTTCTAAATCTCATGACAGGTTGAAATAATATATTTTCAATAATATTCAACGCACGGGGACAATAAAAATAAAAACTACATTCTCTCGCATAAAAAATAATTCTTTTTAAGAATTTATAAAGTTAGTTTGAGCAGTGGATGGTATCGTTCCATAATTTTGTTGTTGATTATTGATAATAGATGTGTTGAATGTGTTAGTTGTTATCTGTTCTAAAGCTTGTTTTTCTGATTTTTTTCTTTCATCCTCATCTTTCCGTGTATACTTAACTTTAACAAATAAAATCATTATAATAGCTAAGAATATCATACATAATACTAATAAATTCATTAATTTATATCTGCCTGGTGCCACAAATAAAAGTACTAATGCAACGACATTAATCCATTGAACTAATATTGATGCTGATACTGATTCTGGTAGTGGAAACATAAGTTCAGCTAGACATTCATAAATTAATGGTGTTGTTGCACCTTGAAATAGTCCAGTCAGAGCTAATGATATACCAATTGTTGTCACAGATGATTTTAATATTGGTTGTTCATAAAACATTGTACGTACACATAACTGGAACCATAAACAACAGATAAAACAGCATATTAAAGATAAAACAGCTAATAATTTTAATGAACGTTGAAAAGACTTTAAATCGCCTACTGTCGACATAAGTAGACCACCAATGATACCAGCTATGTTTGTTGCAAAACCAAACCAACCTGAACAAAAATGAGATATCTACAAGTTTTGTTTTTCAATAAAACGTCATCAGATACATTGGGTATTATTTTTGAATGAAAAACAGGCTCTGAATTACTCAAATGTTCACATACACTCAGCTATTGCTTGCAACCATTTTATCTGAATAAATTAGCATCCCTCTGAAAAAGTCAAAAAAATATCGTTGAGCTCAAAGACACATTGGGGTGATTCTTTTGAAAGTGTACCACGTTTACATCGACTTTATCCCAACAGTTCAAAAGTTATAGACCAGTACAGCTCGAGCCCCTGATGACGAATATCACGTTTAAAAAATTTTAAAACAAGGGTCTCGTGGTCTTCTAAGACCTGGGGAGGTCCCATTTCCCGGCAGAACAGACGTTTTCTGGGCATTTTCGTCATCTTTTAGCGAAACACTTTCATGAACTAGTGTCGTCAGATTAGAATCTATATGTGCAGCGCTGTAAAAGTCCTAACGCATAAAATGTTCCAAAATGCTAAGCACGTCCTCAGGAGAATTTCTTAAAAAATCGTTTTATCCGAAAAGTAGGCCCTTTTTATAAATCGTATTTTCCCCATAAAATTATGTCAACACACAAGAACAAGATGCGCATTCGACGCATCTTTTCAAGTTCTCTCCGATGAAGTCGTTCTCAATGAGATTAAAGCCATCTAATGATCGAAAAAAACAACTTTTAAAGGCGATTTTCCTCGTTTTCCAAAGTTTGAGTACTAGTCCATGGAGTGTATATGATGATTCATCGGTACTCAACGTGGGCTCTTACAAAAACACTTTTTTACCTTTGCCTTTTGAACAGACGAAAATCGTGCATTATTTTTACTGGAAAAACTGATAATAACAATATAAGCTTATCTTCAAAATTTGAGCGCGTAGAGAAGTAAAATAATTTCTGATTCTATTGGGATGTATGGCCTACTTTTCGGAAAAAAC